GAAATCACGGATAAGATTCCCGCATCAGGTAAATGTATTATATTGTATATTTTACCTTATCGATTTGTCTCGGTAATTTTAATTTCATTCCAATTTACGAGAGCATAACATCCCAAACTACGCAGCAAAAGTCAAACTCAAAAGTTTATTTCAAAATTTTAAACCGTCTGTTTTGCTATTAATTTGGAATTGGGAAACAATCAAACGGTTACAAAAAATAGCTCTTTCTCCTCGATTTTTAGCATTAAGCCGATGATAAATTAATACCATTATTGATTACAAAAACATGACCTTTTGTAGTAACAATACGCTGCTATTTGTACGATAGCATCTTTGTGGTGGTGAGCATTAAGATTATGATTCAGGATAGTGTTGTTGCACTCTAACACTGTGCACTAGAATCCTTGATCTGTTGACTTACATGTCGCAGACTATAATGTAACTATTACTCATTGTAGCCACGACATTTTAGTACCTAATAGAGTAGCTTGTAGAGTGTAGGGTAAAATTGCGCTATCAGCCTCCATGGCCGAGCATTTATATCTCCGCTTTAGTCGTACTAATCATTGGGATTTTGATGCAGGATTGGATGGCTATGGCACTCTAGCACGGCGCTGTATCCATCCACGTACGTATCACGCGGAACATCCCTGTCCCAGCTACGTGGGCTACTCCGCGGGAGAGTGGCAGAGGCGGCACGCGTACGAAGACAGGCTCCAATACTACCGTACTTCTGGTTTCGATACAGGGAGGGTGGATTCCTGTCACAAGTGAGTCTTCTTTCTTTGTACTAAATAACCTTTACCACGCTTCAATGTGGATGAATCGAAGAAGAAAGTATAAAAATGTCATAATAGTAAAAATATTGCATTTGAAGCCGGAAACCACATTTACCACCCGACGAGTGATTTATTTGTAAATCTAACAGTAGACTACAATCACAGTGTCATGTCGGATTCGTTTTGCTTGCCTAAAATTTTGTAATCTAATCAAAATTCTTTTACAAACGGATTTCGTACTACTACAATATAATGGTTTATCGACTTATATTTATTTTAATTATAATATTCGGTATAGTGGGCATCATAGATATCAAAATATACTTCCATGTTCTGTAAATCATAATAAAAACCTATTGAAATTATCCATGACTCTAGTTAATTGTAAAAATATTAAATATTGTTAACATTGAACCATTTTATTTTCATTTCAGGAAGAGATCAATGTAATTCTTGATACGTTTTACAAGTCGAGCGCATCAGGATTCATCATATGGGGTAGTTCTAATGATGTCAACACTGTTGACAAATGCAAAAATCTACTCAAGTATACAGAAGAAATTCTTGGCCCTTCCATTGCTAAATACACAAAACCAGGAGGGAAAATAAGCTGTAATGAAGTAAGACCTACAACAATACCACCAAATTCTAACATAACAACATGGACGCCGATACTAAAAGAACAATTGAACAATAATAACACTAATGCCATACGAAACATTAATAATCCATGGTTTGCGGTGAAAAATAACTCGCAAAACATCACACATAATTATGAATACGCCATTAATAATACAAATAATAGTAGTACTAGTCATGAAAACAGTACCAATCTTTTACATATAAAGAGGAATACACTTCTAGAGTTGCTTTTCAAAATTTTGCTTTACAAAAAGATTACGAATGATGATGACACTGAGAACGTAAATGAAGATTATTATGCAAGGGAAGAAATTTTACATAACGACAAGAAACAAAGTTCATATTTCAACGTGTCTACTGATGAGTTAAATAATATTACCATAACAGAAATCTCGTCCTCCATAATAAAATATACCACATCAAAGCCTCCAAATATAACAGAAATAGTAACTATAACTACTGAAAATAGCAATATTCTAAATGTTTCTGAAAATAACACTAAAAATTCTGTGAACCAATATTCTATAGCAAAGGCATCAACAAATTATGGAAATAGTTCCACAGAAGCAGTTATAGATGATAATAAAATATTAACTTACAATGAGGTATCCGAATCGGTAAAGGATTTAGTCACAGATACTGTAACTGAAACAAATATTATAATTAAAGAATTATATGCTTCTTTAGAAAATCTAACTGATTCAACTGAAAATAATTCAAGTTTAGAATCATCTTTTAATTTTAGTGATACTTCTACATCTACATATGATGTAACTACACATACTACTACGGGCGATTATTTATTTCCAGAGTCTGATATTAAGACATCGTCTAATTTATTGAGTACTATTATATCTACACACAGAACGGATACTTTGATTGAAGAAAGACATATAATGATGCAACAAAAAGATGAAAAGAAAGGTCACCACATCAAAGATAACAATGATTATACTACGTCCAAAGATACTATAACTCCACTTGATTTTGATAAAGTAACAAACAAAGATTCATTACTAGAATCAACAACCAATTTGGAAAAATTTACTAAAACTGAAATATTAACTATGTCTACTGCTAATATTAAAACTATTACTGAACCTGTTATTCAACTTAATGAAAAACTTAATAATACAAATAAAAACGGGAGTGACAATTACGAAGATATAGAATCAATTAGTGAACAACAACAACCTTATACAGAGTCCATTAACATGTTGGATAATAATTTTGAAGGAATGGTTAAAATTACTACTGAAAATGTAATTTACACACTCAATGATAGTGAAGACTCAATTGATGGTAAAAGAGATAATGAAATAACTACACCCTCAGACGAAACAACGATTGATTCCGTAAGACTATTGCCATTTTGAAATGTGCTCTTGCTATGCACTTCAGCATGCTTTTTATGACATATCCTATTATTAATAGACGGTTTCAAGCTTATTTATTGATCAACAGCACTTTTATGAGTTAAGTATTTCTACATACTAATGAGAATGGTTTTAAGAACATTTTGTTGTTTTTATTGTAAAAAATGTTGATTATATATTAATTTTCAAATTTACCAGTAAGCTTACCAGTTGTCTGCAATCATGTTAATGAGCAGAAAATCGAATAGATATTATAACATTAACTTAACTTCGATAATTTTATATGGATGTTATCATATATTGTTCAACTTTAATTTGATTTATTTGAAATCAATGTCAAATATCTTCAGACAAATCTAACACGTTACTAATTGAGTAGGTTTTACGTGCATTCTCCTATTTTAAAACTTTAATCATATTTTCTTTTATTGGCATGTGCAATGCATACATCACTGTTAATGTGTTCCATATTAATTATATCATTGTGTTTTTCATTTTTAATTAATTTTGTTTATAAATTTTGTATGTTGAACTGAATTAATTTTATCGTCAATTAGCTTTCAATGTTATTATTAGTGGTTGTGATTATTTAGCATTATACTGTTATTATAACTAGCATTATATATGCTTCATATTGAGCTCACCAACTTGACAATTTTTATTTTATGTCACATGTTACTCCTCTGATATTGCATTCTTTTGTATACATTCCATGTTGTTATTGGTGTTCTGCTTGTTTATAATTTAAATTCTTTAACTTATAATGTTTCTTTCTGTAGGTGGGTGTGTCGTCTCACGCTGACTTCGAATTCTTCACCTATATCTTTATCACTATCGTTATCAGACTACTCTTGTAATCGAATACCATTGTTATCTTATTGTATGCCATGACAACGGTTAAATTAGAATCAGTTTTAATAACGGCATTATTGAAATATCTGCTTTGATTTTTGATATTTAGAAAGATATTTTTATAGTTACCACATTGACTCTTATTTATTGTAATTTGAATCACAATCACCTGTTATAGTTTTGCACTGTATAGGTATTTATTTATTACCTTTAAATTATTAAAAAATCAATGCTTATAAAATGAATTCCTTACACAGAAAAGTGAATCTAATTTGTCTCGTTTTAAAGACGATACCTGCTGACTTAAAAATTAAATATATTTTGTCGAAGAGTTTTTATAAAAAGCTCTTCCGAGTACCGTCACTATATTTTGACAGCGTATGATTTTAATGTTTCCAGCAATACGCTGATTCATTCTGAAAAAAGACATAGCATTTGTTTATCAAAAACAAAAGCAGTTAACCCGGTTTCTTTTCCGACATATTTATCAATATTAGTCAATATCATGGACGTTATACATACATTTTCGATATTGCAAGTTTTTCAATATTTACTCGACAAGGTGATTGTGATAATTAAATTATTATTATCACTATCGATTAAAGTTATGTAGATACAATCAACAAATTCGTAAGTAAATAGTTGTAGCCAAAATTTTGTATTTCCGTTATTAATACTCATTTTAATTACATTACTTGTTATAATATCTAAATGTGTTCTTTTATACTTTATAATTATTATTTTATCTGTGATATATTCTTTAGTGTTAATAAATAATTATGTAAATATTATTATTAGATTAGCAAATAAATGGATGTTTAAACTTTTATTATTTGATTCAATCAGGTTTTCTCAGTTTCCTTACTCATGGGGTTCTCTGAAAACTAATGATTGTAGAAAAAAATAGTAATTTTAAGCACTCATTGAGACAGATTCAATAAGTTGAAAGGATAAATACATTTTTTATGCTTTCTGTAATAGCTTCAATATTGTCCAAAGCTTACATCCGTATTTTTAATACTTATCAAATTCATTTGAGGAAAAGTTAGAACTGTCCAGTATGAAATATAGACGTTACAATTTATGTAAATTAATAATGTTAATGGTATCTAGAATAGATACGGGTTTTTTTGCCATAGTATGGATGAACAAATACTAAATATTTGATATCAATGGATTTTCATATGAAATACTCTTTACATTGTTTTCAAAATATCATAGCTATTAGTTAATCGTTACAATAGACATACTTACAGCTAATTCACACTAGAAAGCATCCAAAATTCTATTCCTGGTTACAAGATTGAACGCATAACCAATGTCTTTGGGGATAACTTAAAAAAAAAACAAATAATAACAAACATTGAAACACTTTATTATTATAAACAATAGTTTCCTTAAATCGAAACATACAAAAACAAAACATATTAAACACCAACCAAAAGCGTGTAACAGTAGTTTTTAAATAAAAGTGGCATTTCGTCATCGGTAATAAAGTTCCTATCCGGTCTCACACTTGCGAAATTATTAATTTTCGGCTCCACTATGAATTTAAACTTTTGTTCCGCACATTCTGTGACTCGAGACATATCTTTTTGTAGTTCATTAAGTGTATGAGCTGTTACAAGGAAAGGAACTTTTTGCTTGAATATACAGTTCAAAGTTTTCGGCCACGGATCTTTGGTGTTGTATATTGAGGAGCGACTTATGTTCACATTGAAGGCGCATACTGGAATGCAAATAAAAAAGTAAGTTGAAACAGTAATTTAGAAGTAGAAGAAGAAAGGTTAAAAAAATAAATCGTTATATTTTCCATATTTTTTATCTAAACTAAACTTGAAACCATACGTAAAAATATATGAAAACATTATCCTTTTTGTTTTGAAATGGATTATAAAATATTAGTGTAACTGTGCTCGTCAACATGACATTTTTAAAAGACTAAGAAGTATTCATGTTCCATCATTGTAGAACATATATGTAGTCCTAACATATACAGTGGCGTAGCTACTAAGGGGCTAGGCGGGGCAGTGCCCCGGGGCCCTCAAGCTCAGGGGGCCCTCGAATCTTTACCAGAAAATCTCAATCGAACTCAACTTTTGAAAATTTCTTCCATTTTCAAAATAAATATGACAAGTGACAACTCGAGTTTAATCATGGCAACTCAGTTGTGAGAAATTCCAAAGTTATAAAAAGGGAATTCCCCTAAATTATTTGTGTGGGTTGAAAGTGTTATTAATGTTTTCATCAATTTGTCGGATATCAATATCTGCATATTATTATTTATCGATATGCGTTTTTTGTGATTCGCGATTGTGAACTTCGAGTCAAGATTTTTTTCGAGAATGGTTAAAAAGTTAATGTATCAGGAGTAAGTAAGCGTATGTCAATAAATTTTTTGTACTGGTCCATACAAAAGTTCAATTTTATTTGATTATAGTACGTATACATAGTTACGTTAAGAAATCGATAGATTTCGGCTACTCACTATATAACTCAAAATACCGTGCAAAATACAAGTCACATGCGATAGGGGGCCGTCCATTAATTACGTGATGTTTTTTTGTAATATTTTAAACCGTCAAATGTGGTAACACTGGCTAGCGATAAAATGTTTGCCGGGGATTCCCCAACGACGTCTTGTATCGTATCATTACGTTTCGCTTTCCTTTTACTTGTAACGTTGTCAGTGAACAGTGAGTACCTACTTGAGTACAATTTTTCTAATTTATTTATGTTTGTACATAAATAAATTAGAAAACAGGACAAAAAAAAAACCCAGTGGTGCATTTAAACGCAAACAACGCCAAGAAAGAGAAGAAAGTAAACTAACTAAATTGCCCAAAATTGACAAGTTTTTTAGTCAGCCTTCTGCAAGTACTTCTGGACAAAATATATCAATTGATAATTTTTGTAAATAGCTTGCATGGCGATAGGTTAAGTAACAGTAAGCTGGTGCAACGTATCTATGAATAAATAAATATATAATAAACCCTTGAATCTTTTCTATTTCGTTTAATTGCCCAATACCTACAACAAGTATCAAAATAATTGTAATTTATGTTGTTAGTGTTTAATAGTTTTATTACCTGCCCATGCACGAAAAAGAGCTAATGATAAAGTTGCTTAGCATTTTTAAAGTATTTGTATATTTAATGATTTTACTTCAAAAAACCTTACCAGTTTTGATAGCAGTGGGCCCCATTTTTTTATTTGCCCCAGGGCCCTAGGTTACCTAGCTACGCCACTGAACATATATGTGACTGTGTGTGGTCTGAACACAAGAGAGTTTGCAATATTTTATACCTAAGTAGTATAATGCCTGACGAAGCTATCTATGTACTTATCAACCGCCATATTATTGTGATTTCAAAAAAATATAACATGCCGAGTCAGTGACACAGACAAAACGTATGATTTGAAAGTTACTCTGTCTAATTTAAATTGCCATCAAATATAAACATATTTTTTGGGATAACATGACTAATGCCCGATACTGGCCTTAATGCGCCGATAATCAGCAAATAAATCTCAAAATAATTCTAAAACACGCATTATCTTCGATTTGAAGTTTATTTTAGTAGTTTTGGTTAAATTGTTTTTAGAAATAATACGCGATCACCATGCTTACAGTTTAAAAAAAATAAAGACCTTCGCACAGTAGCAATCTCTATAATTGTTTCACAATAAAACAATTACATAAAACTGATGTTAGTTAATAATGTATTTCAAAAACTAGAATAGGAACTCGATGGGATAGTGGTTAAATCATCTGACTCGTTATTACAGACTTTAAATAATTTCGCAACTTATACCGTATTTAATATATGTTATACTGTAAAAAAATATCTACGAATCTAGATAAAAATATTATATCTAAATATTTATTTGATTTTACCTATATTCGGCGTGATGTATTCTCCATCAGCCCAGTAGTCGCAGTACGTTTGCTTATCGTGAAATTTGAAGATCAGTTTTCTATTATGCAAACGGCAATTTTCACAAAGTCTATAAATAAATCGCATGTAAATGATAGCGAACATCTAAAATGTAGTGTATATCAAGCTTGAACAAATGAAAACTATTTGACTTTTTAATCCTTACTTGATTCTGCTAAGTAGTTCTAATGGCAGGTTACCAGGATTGAGATTTGAAGAGATCATCACTACGCGTAGCTCATTTACGGGTGACAAGTGCAAAAAGAAGACCTCCCACTTGTTGAGGGCATCCGCCTCGAATTGCAACTCTGCATCTACCACATGGATGGTGCAGGTTGATTTCTAAAATATGAAATATCCTGATTATTTATAAGACTTATTCTATAAAAAACCTTATTATATAATTGGAATTGATTGATGTTCTAATTATCTCATTTTACATCACGCATAATTTAAATACAAATAAACTATCTTATTCAACTTATCTCAAAAATTAGAATATCAATGACGTTAATATACTCAATGCAAAATATAAATTAAACTATAAATCTGCGTAAGAAGAGTATGCAGAATCCACCAATCACTGATCAAAAGTATCTCTCGCCAACAGAGAGCCCTTGAATTTTAGGGTCATTGCATTTCCTTTAAAAATAACGTAATCGTTTCCTAAATAAATTAAAAATAGCTTGGAATTAAAAGTCCTAATTCTTGTTCTTTATTTAGCACATAATTGGGTAAATTTTGGAATAAGAGATGATAAATATAAAAACTGAAACACACGTTCGTCGTGATTTTCTAAATATTATCCCATAAGACTCATAAAATCTCGTGACTATGTTGAGAATTATTATAAGTTTATGGACGTTTTTGGAGTAAAATGTAATGACTGAGAATATTTAATACGAAAAAAAATGTACTTATCTATGCATAACATAAAGTTGAAAACGAATCTCTGTAAAAATTACATAGTATTTTTTTTATAGTTTAAAATAAATAACTGCACCTCAAAAATGATGTTAGCGAGTGGCTGATTTTTTCTAGCGATCTGATAGCAATAAGCCGCAGTGAGTGGGGCAGTTGCTATCTGAGTCAGTGCCGCGTACTGGATGTCACTCATATCTATGAAATAATATAAATTTTATGAACAGCAATGCTTAAGCTTTTAAATCACAAACAGGAATTGGATTGAACAAATAATTTTTTCTTGTTGTTATATGTAACGCAATGATTATAAGAACATAATTTTAGTAATTGTTTAAGAATCAATTCCTTGTTGGGAAGTAAAGCATTGTTTTCTTAACGAATTTTAAAATTTTATATGTAATAAACAAAGTCGCTTCCCGCTGTCTGTATGCTGAGAATTTTAAACTTCACAGAAAATTTAAATGCGGTTTTCATCAATGTACGCAAGCAGCCGCTAGCTGGAAGTTAATTGTTGAATAAATAACTATTATATACTACTGCAAAAACTGTCAATAATTATGAAGAAATATATAGAAACTGTGTAACAACAATTCATTAACCAGTTCTAATGCATCTATATACTTTCGTATTAAATTTAAGATAGTTGTCATCATTCTTTTGTGGTTGTTCTTCTTAACCCCTCTAATACATGCGTATTTTTTAAGTTGACTAAATGTTTAAAAAAATCACAAACAAAATTAATTTCTCATAGTAAGAAAAATACCTTGAAAACTATGCCCTCCTACCTATTTTCTCTTCATACATAGAAGCCAATACTTCATTCATTTTGTCCGGTATTTGGTAGTCTATTAAAATTTTGGTTGGTAACTTCGGCTCCAGTCTCCCTTTGGTCTGTTGGTAGCTAACTAGCTTTTGATACAAGCTGTAGGATTTGCACCATCGCTGATGAAATTTTGGGTAATGATCTGGATAAGCTGAGCAATAAGAAATCTACAAAGAAAAACTAAATAATAGAAAAACCCAAAGGCTTACTCAGTAAATAAATATTAATAATAAGTATTACATCCTTGGACATTAACCAAATTGTATTCTTTTAGATATTACAAACGTCCAAATAAAGATTAATAAAATACAATGTTAGTGTTAGTCATGTCCCTTTATAAAATAACAGTGCTTTGGAAAAAGATTTAAAAAGAAAATTGATTCAGCTTATAGTATTCTTAAAATCGCCGGGCGGACGAAATTCATTAATGAAGCTATGAACATTTATACGATTTTCTTAAACGAGGTATCAGTCTTTATATTCTAGACATTCAGTAAACAGTAATGTCAAACGCATGTACCTAGTATGTATAATGCTTTCTTTATTAATTTAATGCAGTTTTAGCATTATAATAAAAAGTGAACTATTGCTCTCCACTCATATACCGATTTTTTTTTCCAAATTTGATGTATGTGCGTCGTGCAATTTTTGTAAAAAGATTTTTTTTTTTTCTTCACCTATAATATAAAGAAATTCTTATTTTATACCTGATGACAACCATCGCAGTCCACCAACTTGCTCTGTTGCCACTCTCTACAGTTAATGTCAGCGCAGATCCTTGGATACAACAACGCCTCTTGCTCCCAAGGAACCAAACGTCTCTTCAGGACTTTCTCACATGATATGATCATCTGCATCCTTAAAAGGCGATAGTTCTGACCAGTGATAGCTCTGGCATCTGCATAAATATGTTTCTGATCTGAAGTCAATAAAAAGCATTACTAAATTTCAATATTTTATTTACATTCATAACAACCCCTGCTTACTACCGGTTAACATTTTGCATTTAAATTTATTCAAATATTGTCATTGAAAACATCTAAGAAATAAATAGATAAACAAACATACCTATTTTTTCATCTATACTAATGATATAAAAAGAAATTATTTGATTATATGTTTATTTCTGTATTTGTTTGGATTGAATAAGTTCCAAAACTACTTTACCGATTTCATAAATACCTTTTTATCCATGGAAAGCATACTCGGGTTATACTCGGGTGATGTAATAAGCTTTAATTTACTCGGGCAAAATCACGGGAAAATAGCTAATATTACTCGTATATATTTATGCAATACATATACCTTTTAAGTGGCCAATGGTAGAAACAGCAAAACACAAAGCTTGATGCTGTGGCCAATCTTCATCTGTATGTTTCCTGCTGCAGTAAAAAACTAAATTGCAATAATTGCAAGGCACTCTAGACTGCTTTAAGTCCTTCTTGCAAACATGACACGAACTTTGCAGAAATACCTTTCTGAAATTATATTTGTAAACAAAATCTTTATTTTCATCAGCTATAGAGAAAGGTCCTTCGATTGATTTGTTTTTTATAAACTTCCTTATATTTTCTGTTTGTGATTCTTTCGATTGTTTCTTTGCTTCAATTGCAATGGAATCCTTTATTTTTACTTTAGCTAATACTTCATTAGGCACTTTATTCTTCTCTTTTTTATAGTCCATATTATTCGATCGTACAGGTATTTCGAAGTGGCCTAACAAGTTTTTTGGCTGCGAAACAGGATTAATTTTATCATCTATTTGTTCTTGTTTTTTATCTTCCATAGGTGCTATTATGTTTATTTCAGGATTTACAAGCGAAGCTTCCACCTGATTTACATCATTTGCAATCATTTCAAATGATTTATTTATATCATCGGCACTTGAAGTCATAGCGTCTTCGAAGTTTTCTATAGGATCGAATTCAGAGACATTTTGATTCACGTTTTGCTTAGTTACAGATATTTCGTCATCATTAGTTGTTTTTTCAGACTGCTTCTTAGTTTTTTCTTTTGAACTATCAGGCTTTTGTTCAAGCTTTTCTTCTTCTGTTTTTTGTGATTCTTCGCAATTTGAAGTATCACAAGTGGTTAATACATCTTCTGGTGAAGCCTCTTGATATCCTTTCTTTTTCAATTTACTTTTTTTATTTTTATTGTCTTTTCTAACTGGACATGCAGGAGAACTCACTGGATCAGTAATCATTTCTATCCGATACGGCTCAATAGCAGCGGACAGTGTACTTTCTGTTATATCTTTATCTTCCATATTTTTTTCATCACTGTGGGTAATTATTTTATTACAAAATTTAGTGCCGGCTTTCGATTCATTTTTACTCATAGATTTCTGATTTTCACTGTCTACATCCAGAGTAACAAATTCCTTTTCAGAGGTTAATTTTCCAACATCCTTATTTGATATGTGTTGTTTTATCTCTTTTAATTGCGCTTCTTCCGTAATAGTTAACATTCTATCAGTAAATTCTTTTTCGATTTCTTCCTCTTCTTTTTCTAAGTTTGTCAACTCAGCTAAAGATTTCTCAATAGATAACTTTAATTCCTCCATATCTTGATTTACTTCCATCATTTTGGATTTCAAATCAGTTTTTCCTGAATCAATAGGCTGACTCTTTTGTATATTTACGTTTTTAGACACATTGCAAACTATAGCAATTTCAGGAGTATCAAGAGGAGTTTCACCTGAACCAGAAATTAATGGGGTGTCTGAAGTTTTAACAGGAATTCGTAATTTTGTCTCTTCGGTAAAAGTGATTTCTTGAATCGACATTGCATTATTATTATCGTCTATTATATCTTGACTTGTTGCTCGTGGGTATTGAATCATATCAGGTATAACATCACAAGACGACCCTTCCGACTCCTCGGCTTTAAGACTACTTATTTCAATTTCATCTAATGTAGGCATATGAGAAGTGATTTCAATACTATGCTTGTCAGACTTTTTACTTTCTTTGACAAAACATTGTTTATTAGACTCATCACCAACATATTGATGTTCGTTCTTTGCCTTACTTTCAAAAAGTAACTTGGGTGACTTTTTTTCCTTCTTCTTTGGTTTTTCCGCTACCTTCGTTGCCTCTTTATCAAAATCTTCAGTTTTTACTATCGGCTCTACAAATTCTTCGGACATTTTTTCATCATCAATCACTTCCATTTCTGAAATATTTGATTCCATTTGTGTTTCAACTATTTCACTTAACGGTGTTTGGGTTTGAATATCAAATTCAGTTATTTGATAATCATTTTTGGGCTTAGGTGATTTCTTTCCTTTCTTTTTCGATTTTTCTTCTACTTTTGTTGCCACTTCTTCAAAAACTTCCGTTTGCCCAGTAGATTCTACAAATTCTTCAGACTTTTCTTTTTCTGGAACCTTCTTTATCAAACGTGTTTCAATCATTTCACTCAACTGTGCTTGTGTTTGAATTTCAAAATCAATTATTTGTGGATCCTCTTTTGATTGAGATGATTTTTTTTCTTTCTTTTTTGATTTTTCCATCATTTGTGTTGCCGCTACTTCAAAAATTTCCGTTCTTCCTGTAAATTCTACAGATTCTTCGGATTTTGATTCAAAATCAATCACTTTCTTTTCTGGAACCTTTTCTATTAAACATGCTTCACTCAATGGTGTTTGGATTTCAAAATCAACTTTTTGAGGATCATTTTTAGGCTTAGGTGATTTCTTTTCCTTCTTTTTAGGTTTTTCTGCCACATTTATTGCTACTGTTTCAAAAACTTCAGTTCTTACTGAAGATTCTACAAATTTTTCAGACTGTCTTTTATCAGTAATCACTTCGATTTCTGGAATATATTTCTCTGCTCGTTTCTCAACTATTTCACACAATGGTTCTTGGGTTTGTATTTTAAGATCTAAAGTTTGAGAATCTTTTGTAGACTTGGGTGATTTATTTTCCTTCTTCTTTGATTTTTCTGTTTCTTTAAAAACTTCTGTTCCTAATATAGGTTCGACTAATTCTTCACGCGTTTTCTCACCAGCAACCACTTCTATCTCTGAAACATTTTTTTTCATTTGTTTTTCAACAATTTCACTGAGTGGTACGTTAGTTTGGATCTTTGATTCAATTGTTTGAAGATCTTTCTTGTGCTTAGGAGATTTCTTTTTCTTTTTTACTGAATCTAAATCAGATTCTAAAGCAACACTTTTCTCCTTGTAAATTTCATCCACTTTCGTGATATTTATTATAGATAAATCTTCAGATTGACAAGAATTTTGTAACACATCTTTTTTATTTGATTCACCGTCGCTTTTGATACGACTTTTAATCTCTGCTACAATTTGTTCACATTTGATGTTTCCTGTTATATCATGTTTATTTCTATCAGTTACCGGATGATCTTCATCTTGGATAGAGGATACGTCTTTAGTTTGATCACTATCTTTTCCTTTTCGCTTTCTTTCAACTGGTTTTGCAATTCTTGCTTTGGATTTTAAAGTTTCCTCTGATGGAATTAAGTTTTCAGATAGATTAGATTGCGATTTATCTTCCGTCATAAATGCTTCTTTTTTCACATCTGTTAATTCAAGTTCTAAAATGTTTTCAGTGTCGCCCTTAATTTTTGTGTCAGAAACTATATTTGATACTATACCCTTGACATTTTCGTTTTGTGAGTAACTTTTATCTTTCTTATTTTTCTTTTTTCCTTTAGCATTATCTGTAATAATGTGCTTTGATGAATCAACAATTTTTTCCTCGTTTATGCTCTTTTCTATTAAAATATTTACTTCTGGCAGTATCACATTCTCCAATTCGTTTTTGTAAGTTTTAGTTATTTTCTCTTTGCAAATAGGTAAGTCAATATTTTCACCTAGTATTTCACTGTCTTCATTTTTCAGCAACTTTTGAAATGCACTTATGCAACTAACCTCTTCCAATTTTTCGGATTTTTCTGACTCGGTTCGATGCTTTTTCTTTTTATTTTTCTTTTTGGGTGGTTTTACATCTTGTTCTGATAAATTGTCACTAATAGAAGCTTCTATTGTTTGTTTTATGGCGGTTTCAGAATATATAGCTTCCATAGTTTTAATTTTTTGATCGTCAACTTTTTCGATCTCTTTGTCTTCTTTCCCCTTTTCTTTATTTTTCTTTTTTGGAGTGGTCGGCGCTATATTTGGCATATCTAAAAGTACTTCTTGTCGCACAATATCGCTTTCCAAATCTATTTTTTGACAATCTGTATCCTGATTTTTCTTCTTGCCTCTATTTCGCTTCGGTTTTTTTGGCGTTTCGTCATTTTTCTCTCCACTATCAAGCTCATGTGATGGTACAACTTCACTTAATATTTCAGGCACACGTTCTTCGATTTTTGTCGCACTTTCGACAGTTTCAGATATTTGCTGCACTGGTTTTTTATCAATTGATATCACTTCTTCTATTTTTTGAGGAGGACTTGGATTAGGAGGTTTGTTAGGCCGATTTTTATTTTTATTTTTCTTTGGGTTCATTTTGATTATTGCACCTGGATCTCATAAGAGCACGATCTTGCTACGTCTTGGCAATTCTTATTTCAGCGTACATCTGACCGAGCATCGTATGTTTTATTCTTGTCCCGAGTATGTAATATTTGAAATGTCAGTTGGCTTGTGCTGAAGAAATTACTAGCATATGCTATTAGACACAAGATAAATTTTCAGTTAGATCAGTATAGAGTGCTACTTGTTATGTGCATGCAGTTAGTATGAGGAAACGATCTCTGCCAAAAGTGCACCGACGCGACACGTAGAAACAGTTCTATTTATAATGCAAGAAAAATAGCGTGTCAATAGGATTGGGCGAGTTATAATATTAATTAATCTCAGATCCGATGAATTTTGATCCAACAGAAACCAACCATTAGAATAGTATCAATAATTAATTATGCCTTACAAATAATACGTTATAGTTGAATTCAAATACAAACATAAATAATATGGTTTATTCAGATATAAACAATGCAGACATATAAATCGTATTTATTTTATACCTATCGTACGTATATTTAAATCAGTCTCAGATTTCAATGTGCTTGAAATAAAACTCTAAGTAAAACATTTCTTCAAATTTCTGGACCACAGTAGACTAAAAACTAATTTATGTCTACATTATTTTATCTAATATGAATAAAGAAATTAAAATATATTATTTTCTTTGAGTATTATAGCATTATGTTCACTTTTGATTTTCGATTGAATTCAATATTTAAGTGTATACTTTTAGGCGTTATTAGTTAATCATGTTTACAGAAAATATATTTAAAAGAATTGTGAAAGTATAGCATAAATTTAAATCGATTAAATAGAATTGGTATTCTAATAAGTTGGTTAAATTTCAATTTAATACATAACATTAGACACTATATTGAAGTTTATTAAAATATGAGATTTAAATTACGAAAGCTATAGCCATAAAATTAAAATTTTATTTTAGCTGTTTTAAACTATGCGTAAATTAATAGGCCACCCTGTATATGACTGACACATAAGAATTATTATCCATTCTTATGATATTATTATAATATGAAAACTGATGATTTCTCGCTAATATCAAATAACTGCCTTTTTTGAACAACTGAAAGAATTGTAGAAATAAAAAAAAACATACACAATAACACATTAACAATAGATCATTTATCTCGAACACGATCAAAAAAATATCCTCCGCATGTCACACAAACATCACGCGACCTAAATATATCATTCACGGTAGACAGTCAAGTCTTATTTTATAAAACAACGCATTATTGAACCCTGTATTAGGTCTAATTTTGAACTCTATAGCATAAGCTTTAAGAAATAAAAGATTAGAGTTTAGGATATATTTTTAATAATGTAGTAGCCCCGTTATAAAATGGTAATTTTCGAAGGGTGACACCCCTGTGCTGTTAGGTCAGGAGTCGCCACTCCAAAACTGGTTTAGCTAATTCATTTTTAGGTGCAATTTTTTTTTATTAAAAGAGTACTCGGACAATAGAACAAGACTTTTGATACAAACTTTTAAAAATCACTGTTTCGCTGAACTCAGAGATTTCGTGTGACAGGGTTGTGTTGCGAGTTGCGAATGAAAATAAAAAGGTTTCCGCTCACCTGATGTCATTTTTTTGTCTGTCCGTCAGGTAGATTATTGAAGGATATTAAACACGTATTTTTGTTTATTAGCTAAGCCATTTCTTGTCAAATTAAAGCAATAAAAGTCTTCCTGAACAAGTGATAGGTAAAAAATAGTTTTAATAAGTTTATTTGGATAATAAGATAAGATTATGATAGACTTCACTTGGAGTCGACACGAAGGTGAATGTTATAAACCAATTTTGATCCTAAAACTAAGTAACATGACGCAAACGAGCGTCATATACTCTGAAGAAATTCAAGATGCCAATTTTGGAGAGGAAAGATACGTCAATTTTTTTCCACTCATTTAAAAAACAATATCAAAGTGTTTACTGGTATTTGGAATATCGGAAATATAAATCCAAATGAAATTTAAAAGCCAAATAAATTTTTCATATAAGAAATTTTAATGACGAAAAATCCAAATTCTTTGCATTTTTTTCTTCAGAAAGCTTCATTTGATGAACGTAAGAGATTCATTTACTCTTGTAGTGTCTCAAAAAATAATCCCTTCAACTCTGTCAAGGGTTGCCTGACCGCGAGGGGGAGATACCCCGCTTTTAAACTAATTACGCACGCACGGTGATTGATAAAAAAATTAAAGGCAAAAAGTTTATTGATGCCAATTTTTGTTCAATAATTTTAAGTTATATACTAGAGACTTTCTCAATTCACCGTTCTTCAGTTTGCGTTTCAGCTGTTGATTTATTTGTTTCATGTCTACCATGGAGTAGGTAGTACACCTTGTAGCAAATTTTTCCATAATTTTAAATAACACAGTAGAGAAGCTCGATAGAGCGGTGGTTAGAGCGCTCAGCCTGCGATACAGTTATTAAGCAACTTTCGCAAGGGCAAGTCATAAGATGGGTGAACAAGGTGTATTAACTCGAGCTCCCCCGTGCTTTGAAAGACACGTTAAGCCGTTGGTTCAGGCTGCATCTGCAGTTGTTACCCACCAATCCGCACTGGGCCAGCAAGATGGGTCATGGCCCATTCACTCTGTTCGTTTGATACGATTCCATCCATTATGAAGGTCTGAGCCATAGCAGTTGGGAGACAATTTGTTGTTTCTACTTTTAGTTTCTCTTATCTTTACTCGTAAGTGCTTTTATTAATATGTATCTATACCCAGTAAGCTTATATAAATCCAAATTAATAGATGATATTTAAGGCATTAGGCATATTTGTAAAATCTCCTCATTTTCAATAGTGAACGAATAACATCGCGTATATTAGGTAACTTAGTGCTTATGAGAAATTTGTTTTGAAATAATGACAAGTAATATTGTTGTATACAAATATAATATTTTAATTTACGCATTCAAAAAATAACCAAAGCTACATACTAAATTATTCTATAACCCCTTTAGAAAACGTGTCTGTTCCCGATGTCTGTGATATGAGAGTCGAGCATGTGTGACGCGTGCATACCAACCCTACGGACTACACAGAGTAATGAATGCATGGAGTAACAAAACAACATAAAAATTCTAGCATAAAAATTATTATTTAATCCTAGCATTATTAAACAGATTAGACAAATAGTAAAATCACTATTTGTCGCATCCGCCAAGTTGTATTTAAAAAGGTGTATTTATTTACCCCTCACTTTGTGTAAATCAGAGAATTTGACTCTATCCGTCTTAGGTATTATCAAAAGAGGGCTCACTTTAGTACCAAGCTTAAACCATTAGCTAACCAAAATGAGTCGACACGTCTCTATTTAACGTTTTCTCTTCCACCATTGTCTATTTGCTTTAGGTTGCTAATGTTTAGAACATTGGCCACCTAAAGCAAGTAGATCCTGCCAGTTTGGGTTTCAAAATATATTCCAAGTAACTAAATACTTTTAAATAAACTACTCAAGAACATCCTCTAATATAGCAGAAAAAATATTTTGTACCATTTTTCAAGTATTCAACCTAGATATATTTTTATTTCTTTAACAAAACAAACAAAAATAATGTTATAATACAATATCAAAGCTCTGTATTAAATTACTCTGCGTGCATGTCGCAATATGTAAATACAGAAAATATTTCACGTCCCATATTATTAGCACGTAAAAGGGGCACGGGTATAGGTTCTGGTTCGATTCCCATGTGGGGCACAATGTACCTCTGGGACTGACCATCGCGTGAAGTATCTATATATTTTTTTCACCATGACTCCACGGCTGCACGTGGTAACCTGCCATAAGATGTCAAATCTCCACAAGAGATTTCGTTCTCTACCCTCAATATATAAAGTTTATAATAATACGTCGTAAGTCATGATTGGCATATCAGTAGTTACGACGTAGCTGAAGAACTGAGGATTTACCACAAAACAGTTCTGACGTATTTGGAAAAAAACTGGGTACTCAAACTCATTAAAAGAAACCTAATGGGCCATGTAATCATTTGTGATTCTTTATTACGGCGTAATGAAACCGAACCGTTTAGAGAAACTGTTAACTGGTGACGAAAAGTGGATCACGTATTACAAGAACGTGCGAAATAGGTCGTGGTCAAAAGTCAGTCAAGCTTTACAGACTATGACGAAACCCGGGTTAACTCGCAACAAGGTGATGATATATGTATGGTGGTATTGGAAGGGCATTATTCATTATGAGCTGCTACCGCCAGGCTGGACCATCGACTCTGAACTCTACTGTGAACAACAGATTAGTTTAAAGCAAGAAGTCGAGAGAAAGCGGCCAGAATTAATCAATAGAAGTGGTATGGTTTTTCATCATGATAATGCTAGACCTCACACATCTTTTGCCATTCAGCAAATATTAAGACAGTTTGGCTGGGAGGTGTTATTGCATCCGCCTTATAGTCCTGACCTTGTACCTTCAGAATTCCTCCTGTTTTTTTATCAGAAGCGCCAAAATTTCTATACAATGGAATTATGTCCCTACCTACAAGATGGCAAAAAGTTGAAAACGAACAAAATTGTACCTAAATACTTTAGTTAAATGTAAATAAGCTTTATTAAAAAATGTTGCATATTTTCATATAAAATGCGAAAAAATTTTTTCTTCAACCTGTTATAATAATACCAGGAAAGACAATGCTGTATGTTCGCGAAGAATTCGACCTACTTTCATGTATTATACTTTTAGATAGCGTGTGGATTAATTTACATTCACACAATTAGAAAATAAGACACGTAATATTTATCTCGATTTATGACCTCAATAATTTTCTTCCAAACTAATCATTTATTAGGTAACTAATGGGGGTCCTGATGACGCCCATTAGATTAGTAGTGTATTTCCTGGTGACTCGGCTATGGCTTCCCGGGTTTCATCTCCCACGAGAGGGCGCATCGTAGGGGTTTTGGTGGATAGGTTTTCGGGGACCCACAGCTTACTTGCCGGGTTGGTTCACGGAGGAGAGTTCCACACACCCCCTATTGCTTGCCAGGTACCAGAGATAGAGTCAAAAGCATTTCCTTGACTTTAAGTAACTAACCTAATAGTATGACTGTATTTATGTGTAAGTTCCATACATTTAAAAAATAGCGGTAAGCGGTAAAAAAGCTAAAGCAAAAATCTTTAATTTTAAATTAACTATGAACGAAGGAATAGAGTTCAAATAAGCTGTAATCGCACACTGTCGGTGTTAGTACTAGAGATAATGCTGTAGGATGCCGACTTTATTAGTGCTACTAATATACAAGGTTTAGCGCCATAGTAAATTTATGCTAAAATTGCAGTTTTAGTAGTAGTCCAAATATTATACAGAGAATAAGCAAACCTACTACCTTCTAGGAGTAAATATTACTGACTAACTAATACTTGACTAATACTCAGTGCAGTCTCAGCGTAAATTTACTCCAACGCTAAACATTGCACACTGTAGGTTTTTTGTATTCGTAGTAATCAAATTCAGTTAAAATCTCTTTGGAAACAAAAAAAAAACAAAATTAAAATTTGTCTTTTTTCGTTCCTTTTCCTTAAAAATTTCTTATTTTAATTAAATGCGATTATTCTTCGCAACTGCTTTTAATACCTCTTGTATCCCAACCTCCTTTTTATAGGCCCTAAAATAATCTGATGACTTCGCCTCGGCAGATTACGAAAAGGGTCGCGGTTTACAGCAATACTTTGGAGTCATTGACCCCTACATTGTGACAAGTAGGGAGAGGGTGGTGTCAGTGATTGTAAAGCGCATTTCCATTATGCAATTATAGGACAGGTAAAAAATTATAGAGAAAAGTATAAAACGATTCACCTATAACTCATACAAATTAACATGATACCTGAGGGCCTATTCTATTTATCCTGCAATTCTTTGATAAGATCGTTCATATAATTTTGTTAAAGATTTATCTGTGCATCAGAGGCAGTGTCAGGTCTTATCTCCGTTACATTATAAATTATCTATAATTCTTAAAGTTGAAAAGGAAACTTATTTATTAACACCATTATAAAAATTTTAAAATTGTAGCTGTTTTCCGCGACTTCGCCTGCGTAAACCTTAGCCTATATCACCAGCATACGATACAGCTTAACGTTGAACATAAGCAAATTTTTAAAACGATCCAGTATCTTCGGAGCCTACTCAGCTCGTACAAAAAACAACAAAATCTTTGCTCTTTATAATATTACCATAAATATTTAAAATAAACACAATTATTTGAAAACTAAAACCTTAAAGAAAAATATTTAAAAAATTCACCAGTCCTTTTTTTATCGTAAGGGAATGCTATATACACTGTTTTTGCCGCTTGACAGATGGGGGAATCTCCATCCGAACGAACCCACCGGAGGATCACCCACAGAATGCTCCACACTCAAGCTACCCGATACCTAGTGGAACTGTCAAATGGTAGAGCATCCCGGCACCTGAGACTGGTAACTTTTAAGCATTTTTCCTTAAGATAAATATGAACATAGCATTGTTAATTGAAAAATTGGTCAAATATAATAACAAAAAAAAAGTTTTTGTACTCATAATAACTATTATAAACAAATAATTCTTTAAAAAATATAAAAGCGGTAAAAAAAATTTAAGAAACTATTTGAATACGGGCGGATCTATTAAACGTTTTTTGTGCACAACTCTTGGAACTCAAATTTGCTTCCCAAGGTCCGATAGAATTGAAATTTTGCATAGACATGTAAATCAGGTGACAATGCAATATTGTAGTGTCAATAAGCTGATATGACGATGAAGATGGAAGCTGCATCGGGCTCGTTACATCCTTCTTTATGAGGATTTTGACACTGGATGCTTTTCCCGGTTTCATTTGCAGTCGTTAGTAGCCTCCGCATAGGGCCAGCGTGGAGGGCCATGGCCCATCCTCCTTAACCATCCATAAGGAAGGCCTAAGCCCCTACAATGAGGACGTTAAAGGATTGATGACGATAACTTAAACTTTTTTCTATATAATTAACATCAAACAAACTTGATATTAATTTGACGAGACGTGCTTTCGTAACACGAGCCGAACAAAAACAGTGAAATTGAAAACCTTTTTTATGAGTCGGTTATGAGAATGTTTTCCTTCTCTTTTCGAATCTCCAATTCGCCTTGTTATTTTTTTATAATAAACAACGTAAAAATATAATCACAGTCATATTTACTAAACCATATGACATTGCTATTAACTTTTCAGAAGTTATTATTAATAATACTAAAAAATTACAAATTAATACACCATTAATGACAAAAGTACCTTAGTTAAAACCCCTTCAAAAATTATTTTATTGAATGAGTGGAATGCGCAGAAATATATGATACAAATAATAATAAAAATAACAGAAGCTCCGATATAAAATTAGCTCAAATAAACAGTGGATATTTATAAATCGTACCATGGAAACGCACACCCACCCACTTTCGCGAGCCTGGAAAAGTACATCTCGACAACCCCTAATACACCATTCCAAAGCTAGTTACCACTTTACGCTAGTCACTCTAAGGTTTAATTTCGTTCCACACCCAATGAACATTGATCGAATAAACTGTCCACTTAGTCCTTACAATTTGAACCAAAATTTCATCGCAACTAAGTCGAAATTAGTCTGATATTTTCTTAGACAGTATTTCCGCATTTATTTCGAAAAGAAATAAGGTCCTAATTTAGATCTCAATAAAGTTTACAATGGCATGTACTTCATTTTCCTTTTTTGAGTGCTGGTAGATATATTTCCTGGGAGAATTTCGCAAATGTGATCGCAAGATATTATTGTTGAAATGTTGAAGCTCGAAGCTTGGTTATTTTTTGCTACTTTATACGGTTTGATGGAAAACTGGGCTCAGAACAAACTATTTGATCAGTACACATAAAAAAATACATTTTGTGAACACATTTTCATTGGAAGATGTCGGTAACAATTTTTATTTCTTATTATTTTTGTTTCTTCCTTCCTTTATTTATGGTCCGCCTTCCTTGTTCAAAGGCCTGCCGCACTCAGCTCTCAAACTAAACGTTTCAAGGAAAAATTGTTAGTTATAGAGTTCTTATAGTACCTATTCTCATAGTTGAGCATGCTTACTCCTCTGATTTGCATTTAAATTGTATTTAATAGATATTATGCCAAATGAAACCGTTTTTGTAACCGGGTTCTATATTTTATTTATAAGATATTTAAACTATATTAGACTATATTTAGAGTATATTTAAAAAAAATACAATTAATTGGGAAAAGAAATGTGATGAAATAAAATGTAATACTAAAATAAGAAGATTCAATAAACAACACGAAACTAGTAGGTACACATATTAAATTAGCTTTATTTCTACATCACGGAATTGTGTAATTTCTCGTGTCTGTATTCTGATGACTATACGATTATACTGAATTCCTTAAATTGCTTAAACAGTTCCTTAAATACATTAATAGCAACATAATCTTATCTTCCTTATAATAAATAATGTTATTATACCCATATAAAATATCGTTTGTAACGATAGATACTCACCATAATTTAGTAAGCATAAGGGAATTAGTTTATTTGCCGAAGTCTTGCTAATGCCGAAGTCTTTTCAAACTTTATTGAAAATGTATTGTATAATGTAACCATGTACTTATAAACTAAGTAGCATTCCGTTGTTATTCAGGAATAAAATACATAAAATCATATTACATTGTTTGTTACTGAAGGACACCTGTAGCTGGGAAATAGCTCTTGTAAAATAGTTCACTCCATAAAATGTTGTTTGGTAAATACAGGCCTGAAAGTTAGCCGCCGACAAAGAAAGGCTTTCAATGGAAATTGTATGCCTTTCTATGAATGAAACAACTTGATCGGTTTAGCTACTTATTAATTTAATAATTAGATTCAGTTATAAAATTATAACGCTCCAGTGAACTCTAGCTTATACTGACATACTTCGAGGTAAACGTAATGGCTGAAACTTGCATATAGCTTTGTTCGCAGGAACCTAGTTACGCCCGGGGAGGGATCGATGCTGCCGGGGTGTATATCTGGTTTTTTCGGACACTATACCAAGGAGGGGTGAACGAACCGAGTTATGTAAGGGCGGTCGATACCGGCGCACATGCGCCCACCCCTCAATCACCCCAGCACTGACGCTCGCGCGCGCACCCGAAGCGGACGTGCCGTGTTTTCTTTTACCGCGTTTTTCGTTTCCCTTTCGTTCTTTCCGTTTATGATTTGAGCCGCCACCATGTCGAAGGGCGACGGTGAACAGCAGAACGGCTCGGGCGAGGAGTCCAAGACCAACCTCATCATTAATTACCTCCCGCAGAGCATGACACAAGAGGAAATAAGAAGCCTGTTTTCGAGCATCGGCGAGGTAGAATCATGCAAGCTGATAAGAAACAAAGGCGCCGCATTCCCTGATGCTCTTAATCATGCGCTGCATGGAGGCGGACAAAGCCTCGGCTATGCCTTTGTTAACTACCACCGACCTGAAGACGCAGAAAAGGCGATCGCCACCCTGAACGGGCTCCGACTTCAGAATAAAACAATCAAAGTATCATACGCGAGGCCAAGCAGTGAAGCTATTAAAGGCGCAAATCTATACGTGTCCGGACTGCCGAAGACGATGACCCAAACGGAATTGGAGAGGCTGTTCAGTCCATATGGTCGCATAATTACGTCGCGAATTTTGTGCGAGAATTCCGGTGGCCGGCCATTTACCGGTGGCGAGCAGGGACTGTCGAAAGGTGTAGGATTCATTCGCTTCGACCAGCGCGTGGAAGCCGAAAGGGCGATACAGGAGCTTAACGGGACTGTGCCAAAGGGTGCTACGGAGCCGATCACAGTGAAATTCGCTAACAATCCGAGCAATAATGGAAAGGCGCTGGCACCGCTGGCAGCATACTTGCCTGCAGCTCTACGTTTCCCTGCACCACTGGGCCGCTTCAGTTCAGGCAAGTCCTTACTCGCAATTAATAAAGGACTCCAGCGCTACAGCCCCTTAGCAGGTGAATTACTCGGCGGTGTGCTTCCTGGTGCCGTTGGTTCTGAATGGTGTATCTTTGTCTACAACCTTGCCCCGGAGACCGAAGAAAACGTCTTGTGGCAGCTTTTTGGCCCATTTGGCGCCGTTCAGAGCGTCAAAGTTATCCGCGACCTACAGACCAACAAATGTAAAGGCTATGGCTTCATAACAATGACCAACTACGACGAAGCTGTGGTCGCTATTCAGTCGCTCAACGGGTATACACTCGGCAATAGAGTGCTTCAGGTCAGCTTTAAGACCAACAAGATAAAGACCATCTAAGGGGGTCGCCCCAGATTCGGCCTAGCTGGACGCTAGGACGGCACAGCAGGCGCGCACCCATACATACCTACACTCCCGCGGCGTCGGCCAAACCGCCTGCGAGCCTTCGGCCGCTGCCGCCCCATAAGGACCTGACTTACTGTCTTCCGGGCATCATACGGTTCGCCCCATCGCTCAGAACGATGGTACGGACTTTTTATACATTAATTATAAAACTAGCGAATGTTTTTGACTCGCTCTTATGTGCGGTGGCCTTTTGTTCAGCGAGCTTTACAATTTTTTGACATATAAGTATACAATCGCGTACAGAAGTGGGTTAAGTGTTTAGGGAAATCAAAATGGCGGCCAATTTTCGCGCCCAGGGCGCATGCACGGATGAAATGGCGGACGCTGAATGAAAGGCCACCTCGAGCATGCAATAATAACTTTAGATTGACTGATGGCATCAAATGCCTGTTGAAAATCACTGACCTGACTTAATAACCATACATATTGGTAATAGTCAATAACAAAATAATGATATTAAACTTCGCTTATGAACGGTTGTGGTTATCGAGAAATAGTTTTCGAATATAATAAATAATATTAGCAATAATAACCTAATGCTATGCTCCAATTTTATATGCGACCATATCGTGTTAAGTATTTTAACGAACATGATTTAGGCCATGATTGGACTCAAACCAATGTATGCCAAATGTACGAGAATCATCTCCGCTCAGGCGCGCCAGGCGTGGGCGCGCCACGCGCCGCTCCAGGCTCTCCCGGGCCAAGTAAAATCGAAGTAAAATAGTGTTATATTGTTAAAGATTGGAAAAATATATATTATCTATACGTATATTTTAATCATATATTAAACTAATTAAGAATGAAAACTAATCAAAAACTGTGATAGGTTTTGATAAAATTTTAGAGAAAAAGTAAAAAAAATAAAATCGGAGAAAAATCCTGTGGATAAGGAAGAGACATAGCGTCTATTGTACCGGTACGTTCCCGCGCGTTCAACTCGTGTAGGTAGGTTAGAATTTTTGAGATAAATTTTGTGGAAAACGTAAATAGGATCCGTGTGGTACTATACAGCGGGCGGTACCGGCCGTGCCTGAGGAAGACGGGAAAATCGATTTAGCTGTTCTGGGCTACGCGCGGGGTGGGCGAGTAAAGGGGGGGGGCGGTGGCGACAGGGTGGCTGTCGTGCCGCCCTCAGTCGCGCACGAGAAGGATACAACTCGCGAGAGAGGGATAGAACGCGCAAGCTAATGCCGAGGTCACGAGCGAGCAGTGACGGGAGTGAAGGGGAGTCCGTTCGCGGGACAATGGTGCATACTCTAGTCTAACGATATCGTTTCAAAAATAAATCGATGTCTAAACATATGATCGGTACCTGCTATAAAATAATGTATGGATGCGACCCTGCGTCTGTTCGAAGTAGGCTTTAATTGTCTTAGTCTAAATGGAAATTTGTAAATAGAAAAAAAGTTGTTTAAAAGAAAATATTAATTGTATTCTCGCCGCGTCTAAAATACACGCCACACCAATTATCATACCATGATTTACGACCCGACAATCACCTATAATATGAACATCGAACTTGAATAGATATAATATCGTGCCGTCCTAACGACCCTACGATTTTTGTAAAAAAAATATATACTTAATATATGTAAAAACAGTTTTGTAACATTTCAGATATTAATTAATAGGTACTCATTACATACCAAAGATGGAGATTAAAATTTACAAGTATTTATATATTTATTATAAATGTAAAACGTGCAATAACTAATAGCCAGTAATTTAATAAAAATATATTAAACAAATGACTCGAAGAGGCGTTCGTAGACTATAAAAAGTCATTGATTGTGGTTAAGATAATGCGCCACTGTTTGTTTACTATTTATTGTAAACTATTATTATTCATCCGCAGTTTGGAGGCGAGCGGAAATAAAAACATTTTCTTACTTTAAAATATTTATAATTAATAAAAAATCTTTCTCAAAAAAATTCTTTCGCTTCTTTTGATCAGCTTGAGATTGCTTGACATTCCAATTTAGTGTTAATGTGTTTTATTATTAAGTATAAATTAATTTAGACAAAATTGTCAGTTACCTTTGTTACCAAAGTCACTCTTATGGTAAACATATTAATGAGACTGACTTCGGTCACATTTTAATGTTTGATTTAATTTTAATTATTATTAATGGTAAACTGAACGGTATAGTTGGCAAAATGTAAGTACCTAATAACAAATGAAAGTGTGAAGCACAAGTTTTGCTAATTGCTAACTTACTTATATATTATAAAATGTAGTAAGCTCTTAGGTTATACTGGTTGTTGTGTTTTGTGTTATTTTCATTCAACATAAATAATTATCAACTATTCTAGTCTCCCGTACACGGGTTATAATTATATTATATAATATATTTTGGATAGTTGCTATTAATCAATGTTGGTGAATAATCTTATAATGATAATTTCAATATCTGTTCTTAGATTTACTCTCATTAATTTAGTGTATGTGCAATTCATTGTATTTACCTTTACGTATATTTAAAATTAGGCGTGCAACAACTTATTTACTAATATAATTTTAATATTAATTCTGATTCGAAGTTTGTGGGTGACTATATAATATTCGTTTAATAGGACAAATGTACATTGGGCATTTATCGTAAACGGATATTGCCATGATATTCTAATAATAATGTTTATAATAATTTCAAAAGACGCAACATTGGTTCCGGTTTATTTATGACTGTTTTCGAAATTAAATTAATTGTAATTCTGTCGTATGAATCGAAACAAAAAACACCAAAATATATTACTGAAAATTCATCGACTATTTAGATAATAATAATTATTGTGAGGTGGAAAAAAATGCTAAAATATTTTGGAGCGAAGTTGTTCGTATGATTGTAAGCGATCAGTTTAAGTATTGTAATGTCACTGGTTTTATTTATTGATAGAACGTTTTGCTGGCTCCCTTCAATTTTCGGTAATAATTATTAAAAAAATAATGGTAAATTATTAATAGTGCTCAATAGCTTAGAGGGCGAATGTCCGTTAGCGTATGTAACGGGAGAAGCAATAATAAGTATATTGTGAAAATTTTAATCCACTAAACGACGGGTACGTTACAATTAACTTGATATTTTTATATGTATTTTAATATACTGTAAATCATATCTTCATAGTTATAAGCGGTTGATAGCAAAACGTTCTACTAATAATACTATTTATTGGTCACAAGGCGCTAATAACTAACTCAGTCAAAGATTCAGGTTTCATATATTTAAGTAAATAAATATCTTTTATATTTTCAGTGAAAAATAACAGTACATTAATAAGTCAAAGAAAATAAGTTAAAGTGTCACACTTTTGAACGTCAATGTACATGTGCGTTATCTTTGCGAAACCACATAATGAAAGAAAAATTCTTATAAGTGCTTTTTTAATTTTAGTCAAAATGGTTATTAGAGCCTTGGAGATTGCCATTGTATCTACAATTTTATTTCACATAGGGTTGTGGATAACAAATGTCTAATCTGTATGACGAACCCCAATTGGTGACAAGGGATAAACAGACCTATTATCAATAACATAACGGCTACTTTTTGAATGGTATTTTGATGCATTTTTTATGAAATTAAAAAATAATATTATAAAAAAATAAAAACTTAATTAATTGGCAACACAGAAACAATACTCTAAAAATACGCATAGGCTAATTGACATTGTGGCTGTGAGATTAGCAAAAATAAAAGTAAAAATACATGTGACGATCGATCTTAATTAATTAAAATAAAGGTAAACATTTAAGTGGGATCGCAGGGCAAAGAAATATTTTGTATTCAATCAAAAGCAATAAAACTTTTTTGAGAGAAATCACGCTTATCTAGTCGGTAACGTAGTTACAAACCAAAGCAGATTTTTCAACAATCGTTTCTAAAATAGGTTCGATAAAGGATAAATTTCTTTGTTCTGTGATTGGAATCATGCAAACACGCGTACAAAAGAATATTAATGGCCCATATTTTAATAAGTATATCAATTGACAATTCCGATGTAAAAGCGTGAACTGTCGAATGTCCATAACAAAAATAAGAAATCGGTGATATAATAGTGCTGTATGACGGGTACATAAAGCATGTAGCATTTTCTAAGCAGTCGTGTGTAAGCGTAAGCAACATTATTGTGCTGTATAGGTGATAGGAATAGCCTGCGTCTCGGGCATTATGCACAACGCACAAACCGGATGACCGAGTCGTACGCGATTCCGGTAGTTAAGACACAAAAGAAGTAATGAAATCTTCCATAGGAAATAAAATACGTAAGTTAAAAATGTTCTAAGCGTAAAAAATGTTTCAAACACATTGTGCCATCTGTGTAATGCTATATTATACGCGATCTTCTAGTCAAATGCTCAATACAAAAAAGCGTCTCATAATATAGCGATGCACTAATTTTTATATATCACATCACGACCATTTGATATTCATTGAAATGGTTTTTACGCTGTAGAATAATCGAGACATCGATTAAATGTGTTACTATTACTTCATACGTCAAAAGTCTATTTAAAAAATAATAAAACATGAATGCACTGCACAACGCCTACTCTTCAACGCTGCGAAAGCTATATTGTTATAAAATTGTTATTAAATTTCAATAATCTGCATTGCTCATTGTATGTACTTCCTCGTATTTTGGATCTGTTTCTCTAGTAGTAGCTTTTAGATGGTATGTTCACTAATAGTTTTATAATTATATAGTTTGAAGCAGCGATAGTCGCTTCCCTTAACGCATGATCATCGTCACTAGGGGAGAAAACATATGGCCTCAGTGAATAATGTACCCACGTTTCGCCAATAAGCCAAAAGCATCCTAGCGCTTATTATGAATAAATTATACTGTATGTTTTCTCCCTAAATCATTATAGACAGTGAAAAACTGATCCGGAGCGAGAAGCACCATATTAATTTCAAATTTTGCAAGTTTCGAGTAACCTCTAACTTTAAAGTACGCCTTTTTCCGCGTCCAGACAGCTCGATTCGACGGGTATTATAACAGATTGCAATAAATATGTAAATAAACATAATAAGGGCAAAGGTTCAGCTTCGGGTGAGCGAATTATTAACCGATAGTTTCGAATTTAATAAAAAGTAATATCATGTAATATCAATTTCACTGTCTATTTATTAGGTATTCGTTTTCGGTGTTGATTCCTCTACTATAAACCTGCATAGCACAACGGTTGGTTCCCATTACGTCAGGCAGATCATTTTTCTATCACATCGTGGATACTCACAAAGTGACAGCTGCCATTTTTCGTATGCGTTACGCTAGTAAGGCCTAAAATTGATAAGAATGTAATAAATGTTATTTTTCAAAAACCGCGCAATGGGAATGAACTTCACCGTGCAGAGTAGCATGTGATACTCCTAGTACATTAATGTAGTCAATACTCATAATCACAAAAGTTAAGATCACGGAAAGTACTGGCATTGTGAGATACTTTCTATGGTCTTTACGTGCATTTTCTACGTGGAATACTAAAATCATCCCAACTTCCAACTGACTTGAGTGTAAGGATAGAAAATAATTAGACAAAATGCATCGTAAGATATAAATAAGAATCTCAAAATAAAGTATTGAATAAGTATTTTACCAACTTCAACGTTAAGGTGTACTAGACAATGAAAGCAATGATATTTATAATTAAAATGAGATTATGAAAGAAATTGGTCAGCCATTTTCCTTGTTCATGCTAGCTGACTTCACTTTGATACAAATACGTATTTTATAAAACTTATAAGAAAAAATATAAAAAAAAAAAGTTAAAACTAAGATCTTCCGGTAAAATAAAAAATCAATGTTGAAATTTCTTTTCATCTTTTTATGATTATTATAAAGTTAAGGGGTAGGTGTCTGTGTTGGTATAAAGTCGATTTAGTTAATATTGTACCTAATTGTTAGGTATCTCTATATACTTATTGTGTCGGTTTAAATAATTACCTCTACTTCATTATAGCTTTTGTGAGACAACTTTGATTTGCACAACAAATAGTAGTTGCATAAAGGTCGTTGCACTAATACTGACGTCTAACAGACACTGTTCCCGCGCTGCACCTGTCAATTGAAAATTGTACGTGACAGTGTCACTTTTAATATAAGCTGGAAAACAGTGTAAAGATCAATCAGTGTTAGTGTCGTCTTTAGTATAAATGTTGTTCCCAATAATTTGTAAGATCGTTTAAGAA